ATCAAAAATCACAGAACACAAGTTGAATGGAGCACGAATAGATTATTTGTCTAACAAGTTGGGTATACACCAACTTGAGGGGTAGTGTTAGAGTATAGATATTAGTATATTTTATATTATTGTATTAATATTAATTTGTCCTTTACCTTCTCCTTATAGGATGAGGTCAACCTTGTATATTTGTTTATATATATAGACTTTAATAATGAGAATACAGAACATTGGATTCTCTCCAACCTTAGTCTCTACAGCGTGGAAGGAGAGAGATGCGTGAATTAAGGAGGGAGTTGTGGGGGGAGTTACGTTTGAAGTCCGTAGTTCACAAATACTTAGGCCAAACGAGGAGGTTAATGGACTTTGCAAATATGCCTAAATCTGTGTTCATTAACTGCTATGCCCAAACCCCCTTCACATATTCAAAGAGTTGCGGGTCAGTATTGCTAAAGTTTGATCTAAGGTTGACAAATGGTACAAGCTAGGGTAGGTAATGATTAAAAAATATACCATTTTGGAAAGATCCTTGGCCAATAGACGCTCCTTTCTACATGATCTATCCAAGGATCTTTATTGAGTGGCGAGCTTCAAAGATGCAATGGTGCAGCAGGTGTGGGCTGGTATATCGAACTCGTTGAGGTTAATAGCTAGAAGAAACCTAACGGATTGAGAAATTGGAGAGTGGATTAGTCTTCATCACCAAATTGAGTCACTAAAGCTGAATGTTGGGATGAAAGGGAGTGGAGTGTGAGTAAAGATGGGGTCTTTCCGATGAGCTTGTTAACTTCTAAGCTTGTCAACGGAAGTAGTGTTTTAAAAAGCCCTCCGAGGGGCGCTAGGCGCAACTCCAGTGAGGCGAGGTGACACTAGGAAGGCACACAACCCCACCTTTCATACTTGACTAAGAAATTGAGATACAGGTTATACTTTTTCAATAATCTGCAAATACCAAAATCTCCCTTAGCTTGTTTTAAAGAAGTGAGCTTCGAATGGATATTGCATCAAATCAATTAAAGTATCTTCAAAATAATTGTGAGCTATTTCTTATGAGCAGAGATTTGATGAAGACGACTACCTATCTTTTCTTCCAGCTTGAAGAATCCATTCGACATTGATCGGGGTTGGCAAAAGACTTATTTGCAACACAACTATTGTTATCCATATTTCAAAAAACTTAATAACAGAAGAAATTGAGAAGAGATATAACGTGATTAGTTAGTTTGACTGGATTTTTTTTTTGAATATTCAAGGCTTAACAAAAAATGAAGAACCTAAGATGAGGGAGAAAAGAACACTTCCCATCCTGTCCTTTCCATTCTTTTAATCAAGTTATGTTTCTCGCTAAAAATCTCATTAAATAATATGTAAGCCTTGGAAGTTAATTGGCAGAGTTTAGTGGTCAATATGTGTTCCTCTCTTGAGTATAATTCTAGGATGGTATCAAACTTATTTTTGTGAGGTGGAAGATTGGTCTTTAGAATTCCCTAGTGTTCTTGCAGGGAAATGGATCTCTCTTAATCCTAGTGCTCTCCTTATGGTTTTTGGTTTTGGTAGATGGCCAAGCATTCACTTTTGATTTTCCATATTTAGCAATAACAAACATTGTCCATAGTTTGTCTTTCTCCATAAGATACCTTCATATCCATTTAGATAACAAGGCTTTGTTCCTCAACTTGATATTATTGATGCCAAGTGCTCCATATAGGAGTGGGGATTGTACCTTTTGACAATGATGAGCTTTTTCGTTGTTGTTTGAGCCTTTCCCAAGGAAATTTTGAATAAGCTTCTCTAGAAGATTTGTTGCCGTACTTGGGATTTGGAATAAGGATAGGTAGTATGTTGGAAGATTAGAGAGAACTAATTGGATAATGGTGAGTCTACCTCCCTTGAATATGAATAAGTGATTGTGTTTGGTGAACTTTTGGGAAGCCAAAATGACTTATTCCTGTAGTTTGCATTCTATCCAGCTTGGCATTTCTAGAGGGTAGCATAAGATGGGGTTTTCCCACCATTAGTATCCCGCTTGTTGATCTGTGCCATCTTTTCCTTTTCCGCTGCATCTAGATACCTCTTAATTAGTGAAAGGTAGGATGTCTATCTAGCCTTGCCAGTTCCAGAAGGTAGCATAAGACGGGTTTTCCACCATTGATCTTGTTTGTCGATCTTTGCATATCCTCATTTGTCATTTAGTTTCTCAACCCAAATGACATAGTCATAATTTCTGTGTTATTTGAAAAAATTTGTGGGTCAACGGAAACTCTTGGAGGATCTTGAATGTGTCCACCATTCAAGTTAGGGAGCACCATGTTAAGGACAACAAGAAAATATAGTTTCGTCAAATTTCAGAGATTCTGGCCCTACCACCTCTGAAATGGTCATTGACACCAATTGTGAAGGTCTTCTTGTAAATGGCTGTTGAGGCACGTTAGAGGGGGTGGTGGCCATAGGGGTTGAGGTGGGATATGGTACTGTGAGGGAGGAGGAGAGGGTGGTCAACACTAATGTTGGTTGAATACTTTTGAAGTCTTCTTATATTTAGTTTTAGAGGCAAATCCATAATTTTGCGGTGGGGTGATACAAATTTATATAAATATAATTTTAAATGCATTGATGTAACACTCAAATCAAGTAATTTTGATTAACAAACTATATTTAAACCATTATGTATATGCAAAGGAAAGTTATCTTAATTTGGAACATGTGGAGTTTTTTTTTATTATTTTATTTTTTTAACAAGAAACAAACTTTTCATTGATAATATGAACAGGAAGAAAAAGTTCAAGGATACAAGCTTCCAAACGAAGCGAAAAAGAAAGAAGAAAAGCGACCAAACCTAAGAACCAAAATACAAGAAATTAGACGATATCTGAAGCTCAAGATATATCAAAAAGCTAAAAGTACATATGCAGAGAAAACTTTCAACAACAAAGCTTGTCAAACTAAAAAGACTGCCGGCTGAGAAGGAAACCAGAACAACCACGTAACACAAACTGACCGCCAGAATGAAGAAGCAAAGAAACTGAAATCTCCCTTCACCAAGAAAAGACCAGAGAACCAAAAGATTTGAGCCCTCAAAACTTGCTGCAAAGCAGAATGAACAAAAAATCTGATGCCCTTAAATAAAGCCTATCTAATCAGTGATTGGAACTAGGGTAAGACCTACATCTTCAAAAAATTTAAGAAGACTTTGATTATAAGCGCAAGAAGCGTTTTCAACTATCAAAGGTTGTTCCCGAGGAGGATTATTTATTTTCCCAACAGAGCGTAAAGTGTCTTGATCTTCTGCAAAAAGTAATTTAAAATCCTCTGTAAGGGAAACCTCTAGTAAATCTTCATTAACAATCGCTTCATCCTCCCAAGTCCTGCTGAATCCTGACTACTGACACTAACATTAAAATCTTCATCATCAATTGTTATCCTTGAAGTGTTTATTTGACTGTTTACTTGTTGAATTAATGATACCATGACTAAGAGATGAATTACCCCTTCCTCTTTCGATCACCAACCTCGGTGAGTCGTGCTTCTTTCTCTTTGAATAAACAAATGGAAGGGGAGGATTAAAATTCCTTGGTGGTAGTAGATCAGGGTTAAATTTTGGGCTGCTATCAAGCAAAGCGTCAGTTGTCTTATTAGTTGCCTTATCACCTTCCAAAGGTTGAGATTCTTTACTTTGTTCATTTCCATGACTCGGTGAAATGTTTTCCAAAATAGGAACAACTTTTGGTCTCCCCTCTGAATTTTCATTGAAGAATTCAGTTTTATCAGATGAAAACCCTTGAAGAATAGGAACAACATGTGGAGTTTTTTTAACATATATTTTTTCAATTTCCATCTATATTTGGTATCAAGAAACACAAAATATTCCAAATTTAAAGGAAAAACTATAACTATTTTATTTATTTTATTTTATTTTTTGGAACAAAAGATACAACTTCTCATTGAAATAATGAAAAGATAATACAAGTGTTCAAGGAAACAAACTCTCAAGAGAGTGACAAAAAAGGTAAAAATAGAATTAAAAAGAGTCAATAAAAACTCCCCAATTAGCATTGGTAAGAGAGGGGGAGTAATGCGAAATGAATCAACAAGAGAGCACATGAATGTGAGGTCTTGAACTTAGCTGAAGAGAAACTCTCATCATAGGACCTTTATTTGCCCTCAAATAACTGCAAATTCTGTTCAAACCATAGCTTTGATTATAAAGCTTTAACAACATTCAACCATAAATACCAAATTGAAGGCCTGCATAGAAGATGAAGGAAAAAAACTAATAAGTATTATCTACAAATTAGATAATTAAATAAATATATTTATTATTATTTCATATTCTTACGTACTTTATGATACAATTTAAATTCATGAAATGAAATATAGTTCCAAAATAAATAAATTATTTATTTGGATGAGAAATGAGTTTTTATATATAATTGTTTCAAGTTTGTATTGTTTTACTCTGGTTTCTTTTCATTACATCAATGGAAGATTTTGTTTCCTCCACAATGTGTATATATATATATATATATATATATATATATAATTGTTTCGAAACAATTATAATAATTAAAAAAGTAAAAAATAATTTCTTTAAAAAATTAGAAGAAAGGAAACGAGGGCAGGGGGCACGTGCCCCAGGACTAATGTACCTCTGCCTTGTCTGGTTTTATTCAGGTACGGTTTGAAGGGAGAAGGGGAAAGTCTCTCATGCTCAAACATTTTCTTTGCTCTTTTTTGGGAGCATCTGATTGAGAACAATCGTTGCCTTATTATTTTCTTTCCCTTTTTCCTTGAAGATAAATTCACAAGTTGATGTGATATTTCGTGTTTAGATGGAGCTCTTTTTCCTTTAATTTGTGATTTTTTTTGTTCGGACATGCTATTTAAAGAGCCTTTCTTATACTCTTGACTCTTGGGAGAATATGTTATCCTCAAATTTATACTTTTTCTTAAGAAATTTCTATTGGTGGGTGCAATTGTTATGAATCTGTTTATCTTTGATATCAACTCAGCTTTATCAAGATGGTGTATTTCCCACCGGAAAAAGGCCAAGCAGATTGTTGAAACATGGGATAAATTGTTCAATTCTTCTCAAAAAGAGCAGCGTGTTTCCTTTCTGTATTTGGCAAATGATATTCTGCAAAACAGTAGGCGCAAGGGAAGTGAATTTGTGAATGAATTCTGGAAAGTTCTTCCTGGGGCTCTCAAGTACGTGTATGACCATGGGGATGATAGTGGAAAGAAAGCAGTTGCCAGACTTGTATGTCCTCTTAATACTTGTGTAAATAAAATGATGGCAATAAATATTATTTTTATTTTTTGTGTTCTTATTCCTGGAAGCATGTTAAATTGACCCTGGGAACATGTTGCTCAATAGTAGAAAAAACATTTTGCATTTGTGGCCTTTCCCTCTCCTACCAAAAAGGAAAAAAAAAAGAAAAGGAAAAAGAAAAAGAAGAAAAACGAAAAGAGGGAGCAAGGATTCCATTCATTCAGCTTGACAAGTTTGTATCATAAATATTTCTTTAAAGACTTCTATAAAATTGAACTGCCTTATTAGTGGCATTGGTAACAAAAACCTCATTTTTACTTGGCAGTCTTTTGATTATGGTGTTTCATGAGTGCTGAGGGGGGTGCTCAATTGATGCTAATTCCTAAAGCTTGTATATTATTCAGGAGTAATCTTATAGATTCTCATTATGTGGGGTTACAACTTCAGTTTGAAGCATAATATGTGGTCGCTTTTCCCTCCCCTTTTGTACTCCCATTCCCCTTGTTGTAAGTTTAGTTTCTTATTAAAAAAGAAGAATACAGGAACTCTTAATGTTCTAATGGATAGAAGAATCTTCAATTTTGATCTTATTGTGAATAAAGTTATGAATGAAAGAAGAAAGGAAAATGGGAAGGGTTTATGCCAAAAATTGTCATTAAAAAGACTTATCATTTAGTGGGTTCCCTATATTTTTCTTGATTCTATTCACCATAGTAAGTAAACCTTCGTTTTTCTTTCCATTTCCGATCTTAAATTCTTGTTAATGTGAGATGAAGGAAAATTTTGTTTTACTAGATGTTTACACAGGGTTTGATTTCTATTTCTCTTTCCTATGCTGGTGGACGTTCTAAGTAAATTATATATCTTGTCACACCTGTTTATATTGGAAATTTTAGTTGGTATGTGTTGTCTTTGGGAGATTCTGTATTTACAAAATTCATATATGACATAAGAGAATCCCTTGGTATGAAATATTTTTTGAATTCACAAGCTACTTATAGTTTAGGTATAGAAGGTTGCACGTTATTGAAGTGAGTCTTCTAATCTTAGAATTCAGGGAGAATGTTATTTGTTGGGTTGTATGGATTTCTTCTATTCACCTGTCAATGGGAGGATCGTTTTCCTTTTTGAGACAAGAAGCTTCAGCTAGAACTTTATCCAATTGAGGGCATTATTTTTTTACTTGGAACATTTGAAGATATCCCATTCCCTTCCTACTTGATAACTTGTGGATTTTTCCTTTCTTTTTTCGAACAATTTACAAATTTCTCATTGGATTAATGAACATGAATACAATGTTTCAAGAAACAAACTCCCAATGGGAGTGAAAGTAGCCAAAAGAAAAAGAAGCAAAATCAACCGGAGGAAACCAAGAATACAGGGTAAACAAGCAATAAAAGGCTTAGCCAGATCCTTCAAACTGGGAAGAAAGCTGCCAAAAACTTCAAGAGCATTGAGACCCAAGAGACCAAACAACCATCATGTGCGATAATCGGAGAAACAAGTCGAAATATTCTGAACTTCGCAAAAAAGTGAATCGAACTCCAACTGCCATTCAGAAAGTAGCTCCAACTTTCTTCACAAATGAACCTCTTCCCAAAAAAACATAGAATTCAGCGCTGATTCTAGCTCCAACTTTAGAAGATCAAGCCACTGAACAATAGAAGAAAATCCCAAAGAAGAAGAAGTAAGGGTGGAGAGGAAACATTGTATTGAGGAGTACGTTAAGGACAATTGGGGCAGCATCATCCTTAAACACAAACACCCAGAGGGTCCCCTTGAAAAGTAAGAGAAATAAGACTTCTTCAAAACCAAAAGCCCCTCGATCTTTAAATAAGAGAAGCAAGAAGTCTTTTCATCGTCTTGAAAAATAGGAGGGAAAGTGTCTTGGAAAACCGAATCGGTAAGAACCAATTATTGAAAAACTTGTGTCATCCAAGAACTTGCAATTCTTTGGGTTAAACATAATTTGGAGAAATTAGGAAAGAAAATGACTTTGTTTTATGATATTCATGGAGTTCAATTTGTGCTCAGCATTTTGAGATCCAATAAAAATCTAAAAAAAAAGAGTTGGAATTATGGCGTCTGGAAAAGGAGAAATATCTTGGAATGAAGAGGTTTAATGTAGGTGGTTCAGGCCAAAGCTTGGTCGACGGCCCTCATTGCTTTCAGGCCAAAGTAGTTCCTTATGAAGAAAGTAAGTGGCTCGCCGGAAAAGATGTCGCCATTCATGGAGGTTTTTTGCCGGAGGCAGCGAGGGCGTTCTACCAAGGTTTTGAGAGTCCAGATTTCAATGCCGCAGACCGCTGGAGAATAGAAGATGGTTGCCATTACCCAGTGGTTACTATAAGGTACCCTTTCCCGCCGGAGGAACACCTAGAAGTAGGTTCCTTTTTGCAGCATCCAGAAGCTAGTATGTCCTTTCAAAATAAGGATAAAGAGGTAGTGGGCCCCACTTTGGAGGAAGACAAACAAAAGGACATTGTGGTACCGTGTAAAGATAGCACAAAGTCCAACAATCAGACTTTTCCCGCTTCCCAAGGCGATTTGAAAGGAGCAAAAGGAAAAGATAAGGCAGTGTCCTTTTCTAAAAGAAATCAAACCGGCCTCTTTCACAAAAATGGCAAAATCCATTCTACGGACCTTTTACAAAGCAAAGGAAATGACAAAAGAAGGAGGCTGAACGGAAAGAAGATGGGTTGGACATGTCTGTTTTCAGCATAAGCAGTGAAGAGGAAGCTTTTGTGGAGGCAACCCCTCTTGCTGAATCCCAAGAAAATTTCCCAGAGGGCTACTTTGTTTGTTTTCAAGAAGAGGAAAATCAGAATGGAAGGGTAGATGATGTAGAAATGAACAGGACAATGGAAAAGGAAGGGGAGGGCAGCTCTCCGTTGCCATTTAAAATTATAGAACAGAATGGTTCGGGTCAGTCTATTCAGGCCTCGGAGGAGGAAGTTTCTGAGGATGATGAGGAAGTTTCAGACAAGTTTCCTTTCTCTAGAAAGTTGGTTCGATCTCTATGGGAGTGTAAGATGTGCATTAGACCGATTTCTGCCAAAGGTAGCGTGTCCACCAAGAAAAAATCCAGAGAGATCACGAACCTTCTTAGGGCCATGGAGAGAGAATTAGAGGCAAAGGAAGTAGATGATTCTGAGGGACTGATGGTTTCTGAATGAAAGTTATCTCCTGGAACGTTAGAGGCCTCGGCGCTCCCTCCAAAAGAGTGCTGGTGAAGTCCCTTTTAGTCAAAAATAGCCCCGACGTGGTGATTCTTCAAGAAACGAAGCTCAATACGATAGACAGAAGTTTAGTGAAATCCATCTGGAGCTTGAGACACATT